GTATTCAGTTTCGACATATTTGGACCAGTGATGAAAAAAAATGCCAAGAACACCGAATTCGGAGAAAAAAATGGCAAACTCCGAAAGCTACTCCGAAAAGGGTTTTATACCAGGCTACCAGCCAGGCCGCCCGGGTCACCTTATTTTCCCAGGCGGCACGGCCGTGCAAGGACCAGGGAAGGTCCCGGCCAAAAAAAAAAGCCAAAAATCCGAAAAAAGACTATGTTATGCAGAAACATAAACTGAACAACTTCTGCCTCAGGGTCACATCGAAATTCTTTACCAAATTTAAATTTTAAAAAATATTTTTTAATTAAAAATCATGTTTATTTTTTTTATTTTTTTATTTATTTTAGGCTCGGCCGGACAAGTGGACCCGGGCCACTCTGGTAGCCTAGGTTTTATACTAAATTTATAGTGCTTTTGAGCTTCTCTTTTTTTTTGTCTTCTTTTGCCTGTTTTTTTTTGTTTTTTTTATGTTTGTATTATGAGCCTGCATCGTTTGTTCGCGAAATTTTTGATGACATTGCTTGTGCTTGACAACGTGGTGATGCGGTGAAAACCCCAAATTTTGGGCCTTCCATTAACCCTCTCTCTCGACAGTACATCAGCTTGGGGCTGGACTGTCTGGGGTAATTCAGGAGTCACAGACACAGGAAGGGTTTAGGGTGTCTCACATCAACTCTCACACACGCAATAAAATCAGCCATTACAGAACACAAAGCAGATCCACACAAAGCAGATCCACACAAAGCATCACACGACTTCCAAAAAAATCCAATCAACGCCAATGTGTGTTGTCGGCAGCATGCTGCTCAAATATAGACCGAATCAATGGTGCACGTGCGCCCCTCGAAGGCTCGCAAAACCAGGCCCCGTAAAGCGGATCCTCCCACGCAACAAAATCCAGATACAGACATGCGCACCACCCTATTTGCTCGGACAGGAAAGAAGGAAACAATTACAAAAAGGCCCAATTAATACATAAAGAAGTTAAAAAAAACAGAGAAAATAAAAAATAAAAAAAATAGAAAACAAGGGAAGAACAAAATGACTAAGTGCCCACTCAGGATTCAACCACCATTGCTAATCTGAAGCTCTATGCAAAAAAAGCACAAGCCATTGACCTGTTGACTTTTTTTTTTTTTTAGCTGTTGTTGACCTTTGACTTTTTTTTTTTAGCTGTTGTTGACCTTTGACTTTTTTTTTTGACCTGTTGTTGAGCTTTGACTTTTTTAATTTTTTTTACCTGTTGTTGACCTTTGACTTTTTTGTGACCTGTTGTTGACCTTTGACTTTTTATTTGTTTGACCTGTTGTTGACCTTTGACTTTTGCACCAACACGATATCGCCTTGCTAGGTCTACCCCCTTGTCAATAGTGGTGATCGGTGACCTTCCACACAGTGGAAAACAGGAGGCAGAGACGAATGTGTCCACCACGTGCAGTCTGGTGCAGACAGCGCCTACATAAGACAATGACAGAAACTGACATTTGTGCCCGCTGTGTTCCACACTACCAAAGATTGACAAAGAAGCCCGTGTAGAAAAAATAAAGCTGTGCAACAGACCTGATGCAACCTGCAGAGACATCAGCCTCAGCATCAGCCACTTCATCGGCATCTCGCCCACTCTTCTCCCCACATCATTTCCGCACGCCTGCAGACACTTATAACTTCCACTGCAGATCCGCGCCACAGAATCACTGTCGTTCGGACTCTCCTCCTCACTTCATCATCGGACATCGGCGACAAGAAAAGGTAGCCGTTTCGGCGGCTGAGGGCCATCTCCCTTAGATGGATTGTTGGCGTACATGGAGCTGATGTCGGCCCACCCCTGTGGTCTGTGCGACATGCCAGCGAACGAATCACAATTGTGGTGTGTTGCTACGGTATTGTGCGCCTCCCCCCCCCCCCCCCCCCCCCCCGTCAGCATGATCCTCATCGCCACTGTCCATAGTGTACACCTCCCCAGAAGCAAGAGGGAGCACCACCCCAACAGCCACCTGGTCTCCACTTGCTGTCGCCATGTAAGCAGCTAGAGACATGCCCCCCTGAGCAAGCCCGCTGCCTGACCCCCCACGGGCGTCGGCGTCCACCATACCTCGCTCGCAGTGACGGGTAAAACTTCTGTAAAACCAGTCAGTGTTGCATATCCCGACGGTCGGTGCTCCTTGACTGGTCATCTGCCGACTAGCTGACCTACCAGTTGGGGGTCGTCGGCACCCCTCAAAAAAAAAATATATATATATATATATATTTATATATATATATATCGTCACAAACAGAACTGCCCGGTGAAACCGTAGGCAGAGAGAGAGAAGAGGACAACAAACGAGGGGCTATATATATATATATATATATATATATATATATTGTCAATACATATATATATATGTTTGTTGGTCCAGAACCCCCAATAATCCCACCAAGACCCCCATACCCACCCCCAATACCCCCATAAACCCCTTCAACACCCCCAAACCGCTCCCCAATACCCCTTATACCACCCCTATACGCCCCCTACCCCACCCCCAACCCCCCCCATACAACCCCCCATCCCCAAAAGTTTCTCCGCGGATTTGGGCTGTACTAGGCTGTACTCAGCAAGGGCAGTACAGCCCCCAACTCAGATTTGAAAAGAAATCAGTGGATGCACTGGATGGCTGTTTTCTTACAGGTCGGCCCTACTGGTCGGCTGCAAGAAGGTAGGCAGTCGGGATCGGCAGTCGGCAGGTATTTAACTGGTTTAACCAGTTAAAAAGAACTAGCTAAGTGCCCACGGTGCAGTGGGTGACCTCACACTGCATTTCAGTTGGCTCGCCTCCAAGATGTCCGCCAGCAGAAACAACGACGGCCTACCAGGGGCCACAAAACGACAGCCGCGCAAGAAATGAAGACAGGAAGGGAAAAAAAAAAGGAGTGGGGGACACAAAACGACAGGCGCGAGAAATGAAAAAAGGAGAAGGGGGACACAAAACGACGACCAACCGGGGAAAACAAAACCAAAAAAAAGTCGCCCGCATATAGGATGGCTCGCCTCCGAGATGTTTGTCCACATCAACGCCAGCCATGTGGCCCCCCGCGGGGGCGCTCTATCTCGTTTAATGGCGCGCTGTGAACATTTCGGTACGCGCATCCCTCTGCACACTCCTCTGCCCTCGATCCCCTTCATCCGCAGCCCCTCACCAAAACTTCGACCTGAATCCGGCGAGCAGAGCGTCATGGACCTCCCCCCCGTGGCCAATGCTGCTTAAGGGATAGGATTAGAAATGTCTGCGTGTGTCCCAGAGAAGATGACAAAAAAGTAATAGAAACTTGAGGAACAGGGGCCCTACAATGTCCTCCCTTCCCCGCCCCCTCCCCTGCAACTCTCCTTCAACCCCCACCAAGGAAAAGTGTAATTGCGTAGACCTTCATCAGCATCACCAGCATACTCACACATCCTATCTTTGCAGTCGTCCATAACCGCTCACCTGTGCAGCAATCGATGCAGGCAGAAGTTCCGCCATCTCCTTGCACAAGGCAATATGTTCCTCCTTCGCCTGAATATTGTGCTTGCTGCCATACTCCACAACAAAGTTATACATGTCCAGACTCTTCTTCAGATGTTCAAGTGGCTCACCACCATCTGTCATAAGAAGACTGGACACATCTTTCTCCTTGCAACATCCATGCAGCTTTTCATACATTCTTGCCAGGGAAAAAGCAATCGTCAAGTTCCGGTGAGGATCATCTTGAATCTTACCTACCTCAGAAACGTTGAAGACGCGCTCATAGAACGTAACAGACTCCAGTGCTGCAGCTGCCACCTTTGCAGCAGGGGCATCTACCTCGCTCAGACGATCCGCCGTCTCACGGTAGATTGCACCGAGTTCTGTGTTCAGTTGCTTCCGTATCGGGGGGTACGCATCAGGGTTGAAATGTTCCACAAGCACCTCGAGACGAGCTGCTCGCCTTTTGTGGATTTGACTGCAGCGCTTGACGTTCATCTCAAAATATGCCAGATATTTGTGAACGGTGCTGATTTCCACGAGGATAAAGAAGTGATCGGTCACAAAGCCGTCAAGAAAGTAGTGCTCAAGGGCTCTTTTGAAATACTCCATGCCCTCATTGAACTGTCTTACTGCACTTTGGTAGTCGACCACAAGGCCCTCCTTGCTGCCGCCAACGCCGCCTCCAAAGAAGGCACTGGAAGATTGAGCTTTCGGAATTTTGGAATACCAGCAGCCCAGCTTCACTGGCTTTTGTCCTCCTCCGCTCCACCTACCTTTTGTTGGGCATGGCGCTCTGTGCACACGACTCCTTCCTTCTTTCTTCCCTCAGGCTTTTCCTGTCGCACGCACGCATCTCCAGCCTTTCCGCAGCCAGAACCATTAGGCACTCTGCCTGCAGCGGATATCCTCTTTTCTGACTCGTCCACACCTGCATCCCTCGCAACAACAGTATAGTCGCCGCCGTTAGGCGCGTAAGCAGCCGCGACAAGAACCGACCCACATACCTGGTGGGGACCACAGTTAGCCGACGTTTTCCTTACGCAATGACCCGCACATAATCAGTCTGAGATTTCTGCTGTTTTCCGGCAATTGCTGCTTGACGAACTGATTTGCTGAGATTTTCACATGTCATTGAACTGACTGTGTGAGTTTCCTGTGTGTGTCCAAGTGTGTAAGCCCCCGTGTCATGATTGTTATGCATGGAGTTTGACCCGTGTGCTTGTTCTGTGTTTTCTGTGTCCCTGGGATGGGTAGATTTATTTAGAATAATAAAGAAACCACAGGGGCAAGACTGCAATTGAGGCGGGACGGACTACAGGTAGAGGCTAGGACGGACAGGGACCAAGTCGAGGGTGAGCAGTACCCGGCAATGAATTTCCAGTAGCTCAGGCAGGCCCAACAAAAGTCTGGTAGGCCTGGTAGCTAACTGAAAAGGTCACGAGTAGTCAGGCCCGAATCTGGACATCAAGTGGGCTAGATTCATGCGCTAAGGTAGACTTACAGGTTGCAATAATGTTCCCGCCAATCCAGGAACTTCAGGTAGGCCTAGCGCCTCGAAGAGGCAATGGTCGATGCAGTACGTCAGCCTAGGTGAAGCTGAGGAGCGGCCCATGCCAGAGGAAGGAGAAGGGCAGTGGAAGGGAGTTGGAGGTGAGAAAGAGGGAGAAGGACGGACAGGTATAGAGAGAGACTCACCTCGGCTATGGTTGACTGTCATCTTCACTTCCTTGGTTGGCGCTCCATAAAGAAGCCCCCGGTATGGGTCATGGTTGGTCTTGAACGTCTTCCGAGAGTGCGGCCGGTGCAGGAAGTGATAGGACTTAGCATAGTTACTGTAGTGTTTGCATTGTCCTTTGAACATCCGTAATGAGTTGGGATGTTCTACCATAGTTGCCATAGATGCTACAAAGGAGAGAGAAGAAGTGAGGTTAGGGGTGAAAGGTGGTTTCTTGAGTTGCTGGCAGTAAGGGCGAACACTCGGACATGATTCCTGTTCAGTCATTCATTTGTTGTTGTATTTCATTGATGAATAAGAGGAGTAAAGGAGTGAAGGAGAAGAAGAAGGATGAGGGAGAGGAAAGAGGGAGAACACATTTGTGTAACTTGTGTAGTTCTTTGTCTTCTTCTTTGATTCTTTGTTCTCTATTCTACTCTTTTTATCTCTCTCCATCTCTTCTTTTGAATTTCAGCAAGTCTTGCATTTCTCACAATTCGAGTTTTGCACTATGAATGGAGTAGGATCATAACAATCCCTATCGGAGCCAGACATTATTTGCTGGATAGGTGTTTGAGCCACCCTAACCCTAATTCCAAGATGGTTAGGGCAACTTAACCTCGGATTAGGGCTTGGTTAAGCTGGATTAGGGTAGTGGGTTGCTTTGCTACCCCTCTAGCCCTAAATCGGAGAGGAGTTGGGAAGTGTATACCTCGGATTAGGGCTAGGAAGGAGGTATTGGGGTGGTGAGTGCCTTTCAGACTGCTCTACCCTGATTCCGAGAGGTGTTGAGATGTAAGGTACCTCGGATTAGGGTTGGACTGAGGCTTAGGGTTGGCGAGATGAGGGGAGAGGTGTGTTGAAGTAAGGAGGTGAGACTGAGAAGAGTGTGAAGCACTCAGGCAAGAGGACCTCCAGAAGTTCACGTGTGGTCAAGGTGTCTTCCTCTTCAGTTGGCGAATTGGCGAACATGAGTCGCAGAGAAGATCCAGTGGAATCCAGGCTACTCAAGATGGTTACCAATCGACTTCTCTCATCTTAATGGGCAGTGAATGAGACCAGTGAAGTTAACCAGTGAAGTTGACTCACATAGAGACCGACTAGTCTTAGTGCGCTATAGGGTTAGGTTAGACCTACGAAGGAGGAAGGGAGACAATGCACGTAGGGCGTGAGGGGGGTGAGAGAGTACCTACCTCAAGAGCGAGTCAGCTGACTCAGGTACGTACCCGTGTAACCTAAGGATGGCCATGGATGTCCAGTTGCATGGATACAACGCTTGTGGATGCTTGCGATCATCTCTGCCTGTTTTACCACATTTTCTAGCTGAAAGTTGTTCTTGTCGTTTGCAATCTGTACTAGCTGGCCACGCTCCAAGCATCGACTTGCATTTACAGTGGATCTTGGCGTAGACTTGGTTGCTGTTTGGATGCTTATTAGGTGAGTCTAGGTTGGGTAGGTCTCGGAGGGGCTAGGATACCCACCCAAGGGTGGAAAGTGATTCGAAAAGGGGGAGCTAATGTTCCTTCCCAACCGGTGATACTCAAACACACAGCGGGTTGAAGACTACAGTAGTCCTGATGGACATATCAGCTAGCTCTTGGAGGGGAATCCAAGGTCACCTTTTGTGAAGTGACCTGAACTGTTTAGCTGTGCTTTTCGCAGTCCTGTAACTTCTTACTCAATTTGCTGCTTCATTACACAGATTCCGCATGTGATCCAACAGTATATATAGGGACTTTTCCCGTTCTACGTTGGCGAGCAGTCGATCGATTCGTAATTGGCTTGGGTTTATTTTGGTTTAGGGTTGCCCACCGCTTTGTCTGTGTTTCTCTCAAGTCTGAATTGATTGCTGCTCCAGCAAGGAGCATACTACCTCCTCGACTCTTTGAGTATTTCTTTTATCCTATTTTGATTTTCTTATGGGATATAACATTGCTGATCACCTACGTTCTAAGACCAAAGTGGTGGGAAGTGAGAAAGGGAGGGAAGAAAGAGAACCGCAATGAGCAGTCGAGAGGACGATGATGCCACAGGGACCTTAGGGCTGCAGATGAGCAGTCAGCGGCTGTCAGAGAACCCCCTTCTAGAAATAACTGAGATATCTAAATTAGAAGCAGTGCAGGCTGCAGCCCCCAAGGAAATTAACTCGCGGGCTTGGCCTTAAGAAATATGAAGATTGGGAAGTCTTCATGACTGATCTAAGAACAGCTGAGGCTTTAGATCAGAACTCACCCCATGCTGCTACTGCAATGACTTGCTGGTTTCTGGTTGCCTGTAGCCTCTCTCTTTTGTCGAGGCTGTACCATGTGTAGGATAGATTCGTAATTTTGTTTGGCTGAGGGCTAACCGAGAGACCTGCCTGTAAGGAAATTCGTTAGGGACATATCTGCAAATTCGGGAAAATATAGGCCCGTACTAACTAGAATTCCCTACAGCTATCCTAACTGTGACATGCAGGCCCGGGCTACCCCTAGGACAGACAGGTCCTAAGGGCCTAAGCTGATAGACGGTCCTATAGCATATAGCCGGGTGGGGAGAGGCCCTAGAGGCCGAAACAGAAACGGTACCAGTCGGTCAGTCAGTCCGGTCTAGGCCGAGTCTAGGTTAGAATAGACTATAGATAGGATGGGGACATCGGTTCAGGGCTTTCGGCGGTTGGTACCGAGTACATCGCTGCTGTGCAACGCGTGAACTGGAAGTGGTGACAGCTCAGCGTTGAGGGAGACAGACATAGCCAGACCTTCGGAGCGCCGGCCATAGCTGGGACCTGCGCTGTTCTCTGTCAGCACGGGGGGCTGTACAGAGGTCTGGGCTATTTGAGGTCTCCTGGAGGCGAGAGAAGTTGGTGCCCTGCGGGACACTCCTCCGGAGTAGGGTTACAGGGTGTGGCGCTGCAGCCATAGCTGCAGCTTCTTCCTCATAGGTCATCTTGTAAGGAGTGGTGACGCTGCTGCAGACTTCCATCCGGGAAGTCTTCCGACACTTCGTCATCATCAGATACTGTGGCGCTGGTCTTCTTCTTCATCCTCTGAGTGGCGCTTGGCCTCAGAGGCCTGTTTCAAGGTGGCGCTTCCCTCTGGAGGTTGTATCTGGGTGGCCCTTCCCTCTGGAGGTTGTATCTGGGTGGCGCCTGATGTTTCAGGGACTCGGGGGTAGTAATAGCGGTTCATCAGGGTTGGGGAGTGAAGCGCTGCTCATTTCTGAGCAGCGCATCATAGTTCTGAGGTTATCTTGACAATTCGAGACTCTGAGTTTAATAAACAGTGTTGATACTGGGTTCAGACTATCATCGTTTCATTGTTTCTTGGATGTGATCTACTCAGTTTTCATTTATGACTGGTTGTGAGGATTGAGTGGAGTGAATTGCACTTTCTGTGTACCCTGTCATATCGCATGGTCAAGTCTTCCACTGTGTATATCTCTCCCTGTGCGGTGTGATACTCCTATCCTCTCCCCTTCCTTTTGTGTATGTACGGGCATACCTGGGAGTCTATGTGAGTGAGTGTTGGTCTTCAGACAACAGACAACCAGAATCATAACAGTTGGTATCAGAGCAATTGGATCCAGACTCTGGAGCGATTGATGAGTCGGAGCAACTATCACTATCTGGCGAGACACTGGAGTTGAGTTTCATTGCGATTTATCATCTTCAGGGTTTGCAACAGTGAGGGTGGTGGTAGTGAGTGTGTGGCAAGAAGAATTGGACAGAGGGTGACTCACTCCTGCGTAGGGTTGTGCAGGAATGGTTGGCGATTGATGCTCAGAGGCCAGGGAGGCTCTAAGAGGCTATTTTTAGCCTGGCGATTCATCTGAAGGCTGGGGATTGGCAAAGAAGTGATCCCAAGGTGTTGCGATTTTGGAATTGGGTCAGGATCTTCAATTTCCAAGCAGCGCTTTACACGGTGAAGTGGCGCTGCACTGAGTTACTCAGTTATCAGCATCTGTGAGTCCGATTTTTGTGTTTCTGTCAGTTGAGGGTGAAGCGCCTCGGGGTAATCTGCTGGATCACCAAGTTTCGGGAAGTTCGGTACGTGGGAACACTGGGAATGATTAGGGGATGGAACTGGCGAGATGGGGTTGACCAGACAGCCATAGCCCGAGTTTCATACATCTTCTTCAAAGATAACCCTGAAGTAAGTGTGTTCCTTACTCTACTTTGTGTGGCGATTCAGGGACTATTTTTAGAATAGCGAAATATGGTCTGTCAGTGTGTTGACAGTTGAAAATCAAAATTTAGACTGTGGGAAAGTCATAGCCCCTACTATCATCTTTGACTTCTACTAACCCTGTTTGACCTCCTTTCTGACTCAAATTTCATCTGTGACTGCCTTACAGTATTGGGATTCATACTGTGTAGTGAATTGGTGTATTCAAGGTCTTGTTACCAGTGATAATGTAAATTGGAATTTTGCGTTGCCATAGCTGAAGCTTGGCCAGACTACGGTCAGTCATAACTTCAGTTATGTCCATCTGAATTCAATCTGGTCAGTCCCTGGTTAATCGCAATTAGTATACAGTTATAGGCTGAAATCGCACAATCGGATTTGATGTTCTTTGTCAGTTACAGTGAGTACAGTACTTCTCCATACCTAGGGTATGGCATACAGGGTCATACAATGGTGAAGTCTGTAGGGTAGGTCTAAAAATAGGATTACCTGTAAATCACTGCACCTTGGTCATCAGTGGACACCTGTCTATCCCTAATTAGTCACTATGTCTAATTGCTAATCAACACTAATCGGTCCAGGACTGCATCCTGCAAGTTATTCGTGCAGGATTTGCACTTATTGCATGCAATTGTTGTGTCAGGGCAGTGATTGGAAAATCGTGAAATGGATTTTTGCTAAGTTCACTCTAAACTGACCCTGACCCTCAAGTTGTCTGCAGAGACTGAGCACTCACTTGCTCGGACTAACCCACTTTCTCTCTCCAGTCAGGTGACAGCAATTGGGCGAGTCCTGCAGAGAAAACCCAATTCCTGTTACCTCATGTTTTGTCTACTGATTAATTATTTATTTTACTTATCTGAATTGTGGGGAAAATCAAGATGTCAGATTCAGGGAAGGCTGAAGCTACTGAGGT